TGAGCTTCACTGGAAAATACGAGCTCCAGCACCAGGAAAACTTTGAGCCCTTCATGAGAGCCCTCGGTATGTGCCTTCATGTGCTGTGTACTGCTTTGTCTCTGCAGATCCCACTGATTTTTGGGAGCCAAAATGTGTGCTGATGTGCTGATGATGTAGATTGAGACATCTCTGAGATTTGCTATTTCTGTCCATCACCTTGTAAATATTGGGATTTTAAATGTATTTGTGTGGAGATGTCATCTCAAAACAGAAGAGAAAGCATCTCTCTGTCTGGGGCAAGGGGTCAGGAGATGATGGGTGAAGTTTTATGGCTTGCAGGAGGTCAGTCCTAGTGGGTTCTGCAGCCTCTGGCCAGCGTGGGTGAGTGCTGCACACACGTGATAAGCCTGCAGGACCTTGGTGGCTTAGGGGCACTGCAGACCTGCTCCATCAGGCTGTGAAATTTGGGGGCAAGCAGGACAATGCTCAGCCATTGTGCTGTGATGCTGCACAGCCTCACATCCCACCATTCATCAGAACAATAGTTGGTGTTGTTTAAATGCTGAATGATGAATGTCTCTGATAGATTTCCACTTGTGTCTGTGACAGGGAATGTGGTCCTGCAGGGATCCAGGGGGCTTTGCAATATTTCTGCATGGTTATGTGCCAGAAGGGCTCTACCTGTCAGATCACCTTCAGGCTTTGGGAAAAGATTTTATAAACTGGTCCTGAGGATCCCTGAATCTCATTAAAAACCCACTTTGTTCCTTTATTCTGTCTTATTTAATCCATTTTTCCTTGCCTGTCAGTGAAGGAAGGAAAGCAGGATTTATTCTTAGACAGGGAGCTGGCGTTTGTGCTCCCAGTCAGGTCAGCAAGACACGGGACATGTCTAGTTCCCACACAAAATTCAGGATGACAGAATTAATCTTCCTCCCCAGCAGACTCAGGGACATATGGCTCTTGGGGAAGCACCATCACTGAAAGGTTTTTGCACACTGGAATAGAAATTTTCCCAACTGTATGTCCCCAAATCGTGCCACATTGATTTGTTCAGCAGCAGCATTCGGCCCACAGATGGCTCCACTGTTCACTCCATGTCTTTTGTTCCTGGGCAGGGCTCCCTGAGGACCAGATCCAGAAGGGCAAGGACCTCAAGAGCGTCTCAGAAATTGTGCAGGATGGGAAAAAGTTCACGGTTACCGTGACCACTGGCTCCAAAGTAATGAAAAACCAGTTCACCATTGGGGAGGAGAGTGAGATTGAGTTGCTGAATGGAGAGAAAGTGAAGGTGAGTGAGCAGCCCCTCCTCTGCCAGGGCCATGGGGGTTCAGGGACATTGAATTTCCCTTCCAGCCATTCCCTCTGCATATGAGCAAAGGGATTGACCATATCACAGGTATTAATTAATGCACTGCACTTCCTGCAGAAGAAGCCTTGTATTTCTGAATCTATTTCAATAGTAATTTTGGAAAACACTAGAAGCCAGTGTTTTAATATCCCATTTGGCAAAGGGGGCATAGAGATGCTTTGGTAAAAATTTTTGACAGGAAGAGATCTGAAAGATTTGAGGTGGAAAAGGATTGACGTTGTGTCATGTTGCAACACAAAACATACCTGTGCCTTAATTTGTTTATTCAAATGTAGTGCAGGAAAATCAGATAATCAATCATAAACCAGTAAATCTCCTTTCAAGTCCCAGTAGCTGTTAGCTGCTCTGTTAGCTTTTCCCACTGCTTCAGATTACCCTGGGGGAGATGAGTTGGCAAAGTTACCACCCTTGAACTTGGGTGCTCCCTTTCCTGGCCATAAGTTTCCAATGGTTCATAGAATGTCAAGGCAACGCCACTGGCAAAATCTGCCTCTCATCTTTGCCTCAAGAGAAGATTGCGGGGACTTTTGAAAGCAGAGGGGTGATCACCAAAGAAATGCCCTGTGAATGGGGCTCTGAGAGCTGTACCAGCTGTGTCACAACTTCCAGCATCCCTGTACTCCCTTTGGCATAAACTCTTTTGGAAAGAGTTACTAGAAGACTTTTAGCCTCTGTACATCAGCAGCTCAAGGGCAAATGAACACATCTTATAGCTGGGCAAGACAGATAAGCAGAAATGGGCTTTGCTGTCATATTTATTTGGTTAATTTCATTGATCAGTGACTGCTGCCCTGGGGGTGCTGCTGCTGTCTGTAGCCTTTTCAGATGTGCAGCTCAGGTGGCTCTGCAGTCCCCTCCTGCTGTGGCAGGGGAAGGACAGCATGCGGGGGTCAAGGTGGTTTCCAGCAATAACATGAATGCTTCTGTCTTCCACCAGGCTGTTGTGCAGATGGAGGGTAACAACAAACTGGTCACACAGGTGAAAGGGATGACATCCGTCACGGAGCTCAACGGAGACACCATCACCTACGTGAGTGTAGAGGGGCAATGGCTGGAACAACAGGGCTGCCTTCCCTTCAGGGGCCTGCCCTGGGAGGCTACAGAGGCACTGGGAGGTGCTGGAGCAGAGCATGTGCTTGCACACAGGCTCTGCAGCCAGGAGCTGAAGGCAGTTTCTCATTAGAGTATGATCCAGAAAGTACTTTTTAAGACCCCAGTTTAGGCCCAGCTGATCAAAGTTCTGGGTAATGAGGGCGTGTTCTCACCCACCCAGAGGAACAGGTATGTGCCAAGGCTTGGCACTCTAAGAGCAGAAAGCATCCCAGCTGAGGGATGCCAGCTTATCCCTACGTGCTTTGGGATAGTCATGAAGAAATTCAAAGCTTTAAAAATACAGTTTATGAGAGATAGACTGGGGAGCAGTCCTGTTTTCATTTGCAGGACCATATCCTAAGTACAGTATGGAGCTAAATACCATGATGATCCTTCCAACTTGAGATATTCAGTGATTCTACAAATTCATAAAAAGCTAATACTTTCAATTTCTTTTTCAGACAATGACCATGGGTGACCTCACCTTGAAGAGAGTCAGCAAGAGAATCTAGACATATTACACATGCCAGTAGTTTACCATGTAAAATGTGGCCATTAAAATAAAATTTTTTTTGAATCCTCTTCATTGTCATCAACCTCTTCATTGCTACTATAAGTAGATACAAACCTTTAAACCTCATGGAAGCAATGGTAGAAATTGGGCAACAAACTGATCTAAGGGTGTGCTGGTGCTGGAGAATGGAGGCAAGGCAAAGGCTCAGAGCCACTGAGTGACCCATGCTGATGAGTTTGTGGCAGCCCTTTCCTGGGGACAGGGAAGTGCCAGAGCCTGCTGGGGGTGCCCTGGTGGGTCCTGCATCCGTGGCTGATCTGGGCTGGGGAGCACTGGGCAGGAGAAGGGCTCTGGTCCTTTTCCTTGCAGACATGGCCAAAGTGATCAGAGTGATCAGCAGGGCCAAAGGATTTGGGGTGGTTTTGGTGGAGTCAAGGAAGCACCAGTGATCCTGTTTGGAAAGCTGCCTTGGGAAAGAAACCAGCATGGGATACCAGCTTGTATCCTTCATCCTTACACCTCTGCAGTGGGATCCAGCCCTAAAGGCTCTGGCCACCCCATCCCCATCTCCTCCCCACCCCTTCCCACCAGCAGGAGGGTCACAGCTCCCTTCAGGTACCCAGTGTGTGTTTCACCCCAAGCTGCACCTGATAAGTTGAGTTGAACTGGAATTAAACACTTCTTCCATGGTGAAATACAGGTCTTCTTCCTGGCTGGAGATGGGCTGGTTGTTCACAGTGCACACAAAGGGAGCACCAAAGTCATCTCCTGTACTCTTTCTTGGCACTTCAGGACAAATGGAGATGTGCTTTTCTGCTGCACACAGGAAAGAAAACTCTTTCCTCTTACCTGCCTTTTCCAAGGCTGCTGCCAGGACTCCTCTGTGCCCAGGAAAGGTTTTCATCTTACAGATCAACATTGATCCTCATGCCAAGAACTGATCCAATATGGATTGTCACACAGGGCAAAGGCACCTCACAGACAAATGGAAGGGCTTAGCTAAACAGTGCCTAAAAATCAGGTGTTGTTCTTTAGTGAACTCACATCTAGAGAAACATCAGCAAAATTAATGAGAAATGTCAAAGAGGAAAATATCTGGGATTTTTGGTGGGTTTTTTTGTTGTTGTTGTTGTTGGGTTTTTGTGGGGTCTTTTGTGGTTTGTTTTTTGTTTTGTTTTTTGTTTTTTACTTGCTATTGTGCTTAGGAGCAGGTAGGGATTCTCGAATAAACCTTTTACTCTCCTGGCTACCACTGAAAGTGTGCAGGAAATCAGCTGGATTTTGAGACATATGGGCAGACAACAAATATATTTTTTAATGTCTAGAAATCCAACTTTAGCCATTAGACTTCTCCTTAATTCTGTTAGCAGTCCACTGGCATTTGATCTATAGACTATCCTTTATTTCTCAGTGCAAAATTGATTAAACAGCTAAGTTAAATGACAGGTGTTTTAAGTCATCAGAGCCCCCAGCTCACCCTGAAGGTGAGCAAGGGTGGATTCCCCTCCCTGGAAACTCCTTGTCCAGTTAGAACAATCCACACAGCCAGTGCACCAGACTAGAGCAACTGGCTTCTGGCATGGCCCCGTGTCCATCACTGTGGACATTTTCTGATTTGTAACTAAGGAGAATAATTCATCTCAATTAATTTATCTTGATATAAGGATTCCAGTTAGTCTCACTTGCAAATGGCCCACAGTTTGATGTTGCACCTATGCCAGCTGCAAAATCATTTTCCAGCAGTTTTTCATCAGAAAAAATACCATTTAACACAAAACACCATCTGTGGAGTCTTGTTCAGTTTGCATTCATTGCCCACAGGTGAACATAACACTTCTTGGGACTGGCTTCCCACTTCTATTATCCCTTGGACACCACCGGAAAGGAATTATGTCATCCCAAGGAAGTGGTAGAACCCCCATAGGAAAAAACAATCAAAATTTAGCAAAGGAATTCAGAGCCAGGACGTGTGTAGAGAGAAACATGCTTCCAATAAAAAAATGTAAATAATTTTATAACAGGTTTTTTTTTCTCTGATTATTTAATGCCTTAGTGATAGAAAAAGGGATGCTTTTTCTGCCAGGACCTCTTCTGCTTTAAGCCCTCAGAAGAGTTTTCAGGCTGCTCCCCAGCAGGTCCATTCTGTCAGATTTGTGCCACTGGAAACAATCCCTGTGGATATATCCCACTGCCGTATGACATTCCCAGTGTGCGGAAGTGCCACGGGTGATGGTACCCTGCAGGCATGAACTGGTGCCAAGCTCTGGGTTTATTCCTTTTTGTGGAAGAGGCTTGGTGCATTCTCATTGCTGGGCTCAGGCATGACTTGGATCTTCTGGTTCTTGAGGGCAGCTTCCCTCATCTTGTAATACATGAACTCGTTCTGCTGGAACATGCGCAGCTCCATCTCCGTCTGCACGCGCATGACCTGGGGACACAGCAGGTTACTGTGGCACAGGGACCTCAAAGCACGTCAGTCAGACACTGCCAGTTTCAGGCACTGTCCCCAAGGGGTGTCCCAGGCCATGCAGTGGCTGAGGCACCTTGCCCTCAGTGTCCCACCAGCAGGACCAAAGCTGGCTGGGCACAGATACTCTGCTCCTTTCCCACTCCCATTTGCCTGCGTGCTGAAGAAGGCATCAGCCTTTCCCACATCCAGCTTCTCCACAGGCTACTGGGAAGCCTCACACTCCAAAAAGTGATGCAGGACCTGGAGGTGATGCTGGGCAGAGCCAGGAAATGAGTGCACTTCCCATCCACACCCTGGGCCTGGCCCCTGGGGTGGCCCATCACCAGGGTGGGGTCACCTCAAGTGAGAGACAAGAGTTGCTTAATCCCACATTTGCACCCTTTAGACCCCAGGATTCATCAGCATCAGTCATTCCTAGTGTGCATTATAGCAGAGGATCAGAAGGGATTCTAGGATATAAATGTCTGTGTGTTTATTCAACTCTTTGTTTAGGAGCACAGAGATGAGCATGTGCCATATATCTGCTATTTTCTTCCTGAAATGTGAAGGGAAGCACAGAAATGGAGGTGCTGTGTCTCATCCTTTGCTACACATATGGAAACAGTCAACAGGTTGGCTTTAGGTAGTAGATATTAATTTTTCTGACGATATAAACTTGCACCAATAAAGGTTATAGCTCTGCTATATGGGGACTAAGACACCAATAAAGAATTTCATCTGCTTTCCTATAATTTTTTGGAGGTAATAAAGGAGAATGCTATAAAGCAAACAGGTCACATGAAGTGAATTAGGGGCTACAGAAATAATAGATCCCCAGCTGCAATTGTAAATAATTCCTATTATCTGAGCAGATGCAATTCCCTGGGATCTCCACTCTTGACTCTAAGCTAGGAAATGCATCTATCAGTCATCTAAGGAAAAAACACAGTGCTGCTGAGAAGGAGTGGGAAGTAGTAAATAAAGAAGAATGGACACCAATAAAGAAAATCAGGTGGAAAACTGGGCACATCCACCGCATGTAATTTGATATACTCAAATTGCAATGTCATCCATCTGAGAGCAGTGAAATCAGCCTGCTGGAAGCATGAGCGGGGAGGGGTTCTGTCTTTTGGCACAGCAATTTCAAAGAAGATTCATGGGCTCAGCTGCCATTTCTTGTGTATGTCTTGGTGCAGAATAAAAGCTGGGATGAATTTTCGCTGGAATTTTCAGGGATGAAAATTTCCAATAAGAAAGGACATGCATTTCCCAGCAGAATGTAACATAATCTAGATAAAACTACATCACTGATAAGAAACAGTCAGCACTTAATACATCTCTCAACTCTTACAGGTGGTTGTTTCTACAGCTTGGCTGTCATCTTGCCTAGGTAGAGAGCAGAGACAAGGCAGGAGATGGCACCTACCTCCAGGTCTTTGGTAATTGGGTGGGAAGGTCCATGGGTTATCAGGAGGATGGCATAGGCTTTGCAGATCAGGCCATGGCCAGCTTCAATGAGGCCAGCGTGCCAGTGAGTCACTCCCGCCCGCATCACGGCCATCCCCAGCTGAGCGTTGTTGGGATGGTAAATTTTCCTGGGAAAACATTGGGTAATTTTAGTTCAGGAGAAATCCGGGTTCCTAAAAGTGTCACTGACATGATATGTTTGCCAAAGAGCAGATTGTTTGCTCAGGTGAAGAGCCTGTTGCAGCTAATGCCCTTGAAATGTGCCCTTCTTAGAAAGGGGAGGGGACACATTACTCAAGGACAGGGCTGTACAGGGTCATGAGTTATGAAAGATGGGATGTGAACTGGGAAAATTCAGCTCCTGGCTTGGAGAAAGCCAAGCTCTGTCATCTCATGCCAAGAGAAAACCACGCTCTGTCAATATTTTGGCACAAGCAGAGCACAGATCTGACCGTACAGCTCAGAGGGCAGCAGCTTAACCTGACACACTTAGTGGGGTAAAAATGCAACAATCTCCAGTTCCTCATTCAAAGCAGGAAGAGAAACAGATGGTTCCAGAAACTCCAGAAATGTTCGTCTCACCCTGTGCAGATGCATCCCTTCATCTGGGAATTTTCAGTGCCTGAGGTGGGAAAAATGAAACCTCTCCTCTACTTCCAACTTTGAAAGCGGAAGCAGAGTTAGAAGCTGCTTGAACCTGCCCTCAAGGGCTTCCTTGGAATTTTGAATTGGCACTTAAAGCAAGAAAGGAAACTACCAAGGTCCTAACCATGGTCTGAAAAACTGAGGAACACAGAGGGGAAGGAATTTTCTCTCAGTCAATTAGCTCAGCACCAGGGCTGGGACATGAAGTTGCTTGTCAGGCCTGCAAGCCAGGGAGGTGACTCTGTCACCCCTTTGCAAAAGAACAAAATATAACAGGCCTTTGGGGTAGAACTGACCAAAAGTCAAGAAATGAGTGTGAGATGTCCTCAGCAGGAGGATGAACAAGATGATAAATTAGGCTTTTCTCTCTTCTCAACAGTTTCCATTATTTTTCTGTCTTTCCTTTTTTTTTTCCCTTCTGTTAAATACTCATCAGTCCTGTTATAAAACCTCAGTAATAATAAAGCATGTAATTTTTAATGTGAGGTTTACCCTGGATCTAAACCTGATTTTCTTTATTCTCACTAAGCTTTTACCACAGGACTATATAGTTAGCCAACAGAAAATCCCTGCAATATTGAGGAGTGAGGGGATATCTTTGACATGTTTCTCTTTGACCTCTCCTTCCTGCAGGGTGCAGGGAACAGGCAACTCCTGCAGTCACAGCCTCTTTGTCCTGCACCCAGGCTCTGTGTCTTGCTGTCAGGGCAGCCCTGAGATGCCTCTGAGACAAAACATAAAGGCAGTGAAATATGTTCCTAAACCATTTGCCAGCTTCAGTTTAGTAAATCAAGGTGTTTGGGAGCCCTTGCATTTATGAAGGGACTCCTCTCTATCTGGTGGTATAAAAAGGTTTCCATATGAATTTCATATGAATTTCACCACCACTGCCCTCCTGGGAGCCGACTGAGAAAATGATTCCTGTGGCACACTGAACATGGCACGAGCACAGAGCTGCCATAAGAAGGGCACACACGCACAGGTAGCCATCCACCATCCTCTTGGCATAGTCAGCTGCTTCCTCGAACATCTGCAGGTAGGAGAGCACCTCAGAGGCAATGCTGAGGATCCTCAGCAGGTAGATGTTGGTGTCCCCCAGCACAGGCTCCTGTTTCTTCAGGCAGTCACGGCACAGCTTCACAACCTGGGTGTGGAGGAAGCAGGACAGGAAGGGTCAGTCCAAGCACCTTGGTGAAATAGGAGTGTCCTCAAGCCAGCTCTCATGAGCTCTTGGAGATCTATTTCACACCCAAGACAGCTCAGCTACCTTAGAAGGCATAGAATCAGTAAGATGGCTTCTGTTGCAGTGTTGGAAACAAAAAGATTTTCATAAAAGGCAAAATAACAAACTCTTTACAGAGAAAAACCGATCAGATGCAAGAGGCCCTCCTGCCCCTGGTAAAACATCTCACAAAAGCTATTAGTTTCTTTGTCTCTTATTTTTCTAGTAAATTGCCCAGGCAGGACTTTTTGGCTCCTGTCCAATTAGCTATCCTTAAGTTGAGGTGAAGTCCTCCAGGCATATAAGATGCTTTTTTCACCTAATCAAATAAAAAAAAACTTCTGGGCTGATTTCCTTTTTAAGGGGACAAAGAATAGTTTTGTCACTCCACCTACAGAAGGCACATTCCTACACCTTTGGGCCTGAAGCTGCCACCCCAAGACCCTGTGGTTTGCACAGTCCAAAGCAGTCCCAGAGCTGAGCCAGCCTCTGTGAAGGTTGGGAAGAGAGGATGTGCTTTGATTTGTTGAAAATTATTGCAACTCACAGCTTTCTCTCCCAGGATTACACTCCTAAAACTGATGAGGGAAAAGTGATTTCTACTGCTCAGGAGAAGAAAGACACCAAGTGCCTATAGGACTCATACCCCAGTGCCATCCACCAACTCCTGAAAATATTCAGTGCAAGGAATACTCTTAATGACCCCTTGGAGCTGGAGACACAGAGCTGCACTGTTCCACACCTGATCTGGCCATGAGTCAGTGTCCAGATTTCTGTTCCAGGGGGGTTCAGCCTTTTCCCAAAGACAGCTAAAACCCAGAGGTCATTACTCAACCTGGAGTGCTCTCTGAGGAGAGCAATTAAATATTTTCATGGTGAGCAAAAGAGGGAGGAAAAAACCTCGAGTTTTCTCACCCATTGCATTTGTAGCTTGGGCTCCAAGGTGGGACATGGTTCACCCAAACCACACACTTATCCTCAACACCCAACAAATGAGCAACACAAGGCATTAAAGAGAACAACACAAAGACCCCTGATGGTCTTGTTGCACTTCCAAACCCACTGTCCTTTTTTTGAGGCTAGCTGGCAGAGCTGACTTGTTACACCTGCCCTGTAACTCATGAGTTTCACCCAGGAGCTTCAACACCTGTGTTGGTCAGAGGTGCTGGAAGTCCCCTGAATCTCCTTGTGTCATCACAAAAGAAGTTAGTCTGGGATGCCTCAGACATGGCTGTGCTTTACAGTTTCATCCCTAAATTGTGAATGTAGAGGGGGACAAGGCCTCCTTTCCTGGGCAGGGTGTGTGCAGCGAGAGAGCAGAAGCCCCAGGTCTCACCTCGTGGTAATGTCCCTCCATACGGGCCTTGTTGATCTTCTCCAGCGTGTCCTTGGAGAGCTGGATCACCTCCTTCACCGTGTCTGCAGAGGGCTGGGGACAGCAGAGGCGACACCAGTGAGGAAAAGGCACTCACACATGCCAAGAGGTGCTGCTTGAAAGGATGCTCGGTCCAAATCAGCTTGGTGGGATGCTTCCCACCACATCACCACTCCCTACTGCTGGTTACAAATCCAGTGTGCCCCTCAGACCTGCCCAAGGCTGAAATGGGCTGCAGTGTCCCAGTTCCAGGTCAAAAGGTGAAGGTCCTGCTGACTTCAGTGAGTGTTGCCCATCAGGTAGTGGCCATGTGCCTCTGAGATGCATGAAAGGGTTCCTCAACTCTCCCACCACCCTTCCCCTCTGGAGAAGGGGCAGAATTCACCCTGCAACTGAGAGGTCTCTGAGATACCAAAGCGGCTGTGAAAGCCACCAGCTGGTGCGTATCAGGTGCTGTCAGTGCAGCTGCTAGAGAGAACTGAGGCTCTTGAATGAGACATTAGTGGAAAAGGAAAGATCCCTGGATTTTACCTACCCTGAGAAATGCTGTCATTAGTTCCAAATTCCCTAAGATAGCTGAGCTCAGATTTCAGCTGCACCCCGATAGGGAAATGTGTTTTCCTGCACACCTCAAAGAAGTTTGTGTTTTAGAGACATTTAGAGACGTGACATCGAGGAACACCTGGCAAAACACTAGTGAGCTCATTATTAGCTGTCACCTCTTTCTTCTCTTAATACTGAACTATAACATGATATCCAGCACAACCATTCATCCTCTGCTTCTCTGAGCCCTTCAAATTTGCACTTCCCAACTGTTGTATCTATCATGACCTTCCTTTTCATAAATGAGGAAATCTGAAATCAGCCCACAGTCACATGACTCTGGGAATTTTTGGGAAGATCCTGGTCTGGAGACACACAGCGGAGCCAGCAGCCAGGAAAGACCTCTGGGTGTAGATCAAAAGCAGAGTCCCAGTATTGCAATGAAGGATGCAAAGACTGGGAGTCAGGGCTGTAGGACTGAACTATTGTCTTTTTTCCACACTTGGTCAATTAGACTTTTGATGAATCTGAAATTCATCTAGTTGGGAAATCCTCTTCAAAGTCTAATATTGAAGGAAAACCCATAATTTTCAGATCCATCTACCCCTATCTGTTAGAGATGTTAACAAAACGTTAACATTTGTGGTATGATTTATTATTCTATAGCGTTATACTGAAGCTACTGCAGCTAATCAGGTTTGGGCAGCTGCCTGAGCAGCACAGGGTGTCCTGGGGCACAGAGCACACCCAAAGGCAATGCTAATGTCAATGTTAATGTCAGTGCAAATCACATTGCTGTACTCTCTGAGTCAAGACTCCCAGAATAGGCACCTTAAACAGCATTTCCACAGTGGCTTTGTCTAATAAAAATCCCCCCTTGCCTTTACTAGACTTCTAAGTCAGTTGCCACTACAAACAATGGGAACTTTGCTGCTCTTTGGAAGGGGTGAAGGACTGGAGGTCAGAGCAGCTGTTGAGGATGGGAGCTGTCCATCTCCCACGTATTCCTAGCGCTTTTTCCATGCAGCTGTGAGTGCTGCTGCCCCCAGGCCAGTGTGCCTGAGCTCAGGAAATGTGACACAGCCAACGTGCTCTGAGGGTGAGGTCAGCCTGGATACTTATTGTCTGTGGATGGGGTGTATTTTTAATAGCTGAAATCATGCACCTTGCATACTCACAGGCTTTTTCTGCACAAGCACTTCAGGCTGTGGAGGACATTCCCCCAGCAGTGCATGTTTTCCTGCTGTGTGCTGCGCTCACAAAAAGGGGATGCTGCATGTCTAGTGGAAGGGTGTCCCTGCTCATGGTAGGGCAGATGGAATGAGATGATCTGTAAGGTCCCTTCCAAGCCAAATCATTCTGTGATCTTCACTGTTCAGTCAAGACTTGATAGCAGGTGTTGAATGAAGGCTGAGATTTTTTTTTTTTTGTGCTGTCTACAGGAGAATGTGTTCAAAAATACACCTGCAGAAAGTCAGATAAAAATCCTTCTGCATCAGAGAACTGAGCTCTGGAACAGCTTTATATTATAAGTGGAGAGGTACAGCTGTCAGCATTAGCTGTAAGGTGAAGCTTGATGATTTAAAATGGGTTTATAGCAGGGTCATTTGCAGCAGAGGAGAACTTGACCCAGCAAGGAAAGGATCTCCTCTAGTTCCACCTCCTGTCTCCTTTATCAGCTCAATACTATTTCTCTAAACCTTTCTCAAGGAGAGATTTACACTCTGCAGTATCCAGCATTTCCTGGCTCCATCTCTCTGAAAGAAGAGTTACAGGGCTGAGCTTGGCTTCCTGGCACCTCCTGAGAGGGAGGCTGAGGGTTCTGTGCTCCTTCCCAGGAGGCTGCATCTCCCTGGGCCTCTCCTGGTGGCCCTGCTTCTGTGAGGTCACATCTCCTCACCCCAACTTTTCTGTTTTGCTTCCCACCTGCTCCACATCAACCCTGGGCTGTTTGACTGCTCAACGCTGCAGATCAATGACTTGGTGATACACTTATTGCTCTGCCTTGCTTTGCCTTCCCTTATGCACTTTAAAAGGCTTGCAGGAGTAGAAATCCCCAAGGTAACACTGCCAGAGATCACAATTATATGAGCAATTATATCCTTGGGCAGAGGAACTAAAAAGAAGCTCTTAATGCTGCCAGCACACTCACAAACTGGAGCTGCTGGCCAAGCCACTGCCAACAGCAAGACACAGCCTTATACCTCCTACTGGATGGCTTGTGAGACCTCCAAGGAAAAGAAAGATTACTTAAAAATGAGCAGTTCAACATGTTAATTCCTCACAGTCAGTCTGCCTGCAGCAAGCATGTAAAAAAGTCAAGTGATGGTACAAACTCCTTGTGACAGGCCTCTGCAAAAAGGGACTGGAAGTTCAGGCTTCCCACGTTCCTGGAGCCAGTGTGGTGGTGGAAACCACAGAGTTCCAGCAGCACTGGAACTGTCACCATGGATCACCTGCAACACATTTCCCTCTCTGCATTCAAAATGTGGAGTCCCTTGCAGTTTTTCAGGAAACAAACAAACAAAAAAACCCTCCAAAAACAACAACAAAAAAACACCAATCAACCAACCAACCAACCCAACCCCAAAAACCCCCACAATCTCAAAATGCCACCATTTTTTCTCAGCTCTACACCTAATTTTCCAATATTTTTGCAACCTGTCTATTGTTGGACTTTTAGGTTAACGGCAGCTTCTGGAGGCTTTTTTAAATTAAAAACTGTCCTCGCATAATAAGGACTAAGCTGGCATTGCATGGTGGGCTTGAATTGCTGCTGTGCCCAATCAAGTTCTGTTCTCATTTTTTCACCTTGCCAAAATCTGACCATGTTCCTGTCGAGACTGCTGAGAAACCACAGTCCTGGAGACCCACAGATGCCTTGGCAGAGGAGATGAAACCAGCACTGGGTTTGGGCACTGCAGGACAAACCATACCTTGCTTTCCCCTGCCTTCACTGCCAGCATCAGGTCATCCTTGAGCTGTTTCTTGCAGTGCTCACAGGCACAGTCGAAGTAATATTGCTTCTTGAGCTGCGCGCGCCGCTCCTCGCTCAGGCTGAGGAAATCCACGTAGGAAACCGTCAGCTCATCCCCCGGGGAAATCTTGCTCAGGGCCCTCAGCTCGATCCTGGGGGCACAGGAGATGGGGTGTGCGCTTGGAGAAGCAGCAGAAGCAGAAGTGCAGCCACAGTCCTGCAGCCTGCCCTGCTTGCAGAGCTGAGCCCTGGCCCTAAGGCGCTGCTTTAAGGCTGCAGGGAGGCAGTGCAGAGGTGAGCAGCAGCCTGGTAACTGAATACAGGGCATGAACACACACACACCAGTTTTTCCTGCCCCTCTACAAGTCCCTGGTAGGGGTATGTAAAGGTCTGAGCTATAGAGAGGTTATGGCTCCATTAATTTATCCATATGGTGTCTCAGCCTAAACATCAATTTCTAGTTTGTTGCAGATCTCACGAGAAGAAAAAAAAACATTGAGATCAGAAATACACACCAAAATGCTGAGTTTGGATTTGGGCTCTTTTTTTAAGTGCTGTTTTGCATGCTATCCCTGGCTATACTCCCAGATCCCAAGCTCTGCTGCCTTCAGTATCATTTTCACTTTGAAAAGTTAAGATAAATTCCCTCTGGGTGCTGCATAAGAGATGCCCTCACCGTGTTCATGCATTTCCACATAAAAGCTTAGAAGTAATTATCTGGAGAGAGTCTATTTTTAAATAGCTCATTTGACCTATTGCCACAATTCAATTGCCAGTCTCTGTTACTGAAATCCATGGCAAGCCCCTGATGATGGGATTTGGAAAGCCAGACCTTTGTATCTCTCTTTCCCTTATTCATTCCCTGCAAAAGGTCTTAAATAATGTGGAGATTCAGAACTATTCCCTTGCTGTTTCACTGAATATCCCAGTTACTCTGGGCCATCTCTCAGATGTAGGGGTTAAACAGGCACAACTGGCTAGAGAATTTGGCCAGAAATTTGGGGAAAAAATCCATCAAATACCAACTGTGAGGAGTTCTTTTGTATCCACCTCCTCTCCCAGCTACTAGTGAGCTCAACAGTGTGTTTAATGTATATATTTGGCCTGAGATGGACCTGGGGGGGACCTGCTGGCTCCCACCTGAGCATGAGGTGCTGGAGGTGGAACCCAACAAAAGCCTCACTAAAGGCAGAGGTGGCAGAGCTATCACCTGGTGCTTTAAAAGTAAGCCTTTTGGGGAGGACAGGACTTATTCTGTGTGATCATGTTTCTGCAAAAGGATTGTAATTGTAATTCCCTTCTAATTCCATTGGAATTCCTGTTACAGGCTCTCAGTACCAAGGGCGTAGCTCTGAGTCTTCCAGCTCTGCTAAAGCTGCTGTCAAAATTCTTCTCCAAGGCTGGTCTTGATCTTCTCTGGGTATTGCCATATCAGCAACAAGTTTCATACAAAATTTACCACCAAACATGCCATTGTCACAAAGGGCAGCTATTAGTTATGTCACAACCACAGGAAAGTGCCAGACAGAGAAAGGTGCAAACAGCTACTCCAGGAGGAAGTGCACAAAAAAAGAGCAATTCCCAGCTGAAAAGCTTACACATATAAACATTCCTGTTCACACTTCACAGGATCCTTGTCAAAGTGAGTCATGCAACCAGAGAAGCAAAATCAAGCCTCTGACTTTCATGATGCCCCTGATAGCCCAAGCACCACAGGGGTATTTTAAGCAGCCATCCCTGGTGTGGAGGGCATTGATAGCCTTTGGGGTAAGCCAGGAAACACATGGCATATTTTAAATACTGTAGTTAAAGAGACACTGTCAGCCAGGAGCACACCACTGAGCTTGTCAAGGGCTCTTTCCCAAGTAAAGTGAGTGCCTGATAGCTCAAAACTCAAATTGCCCCAAATAGCAACTCTAATCAGAACTGAAACTCTTTTTCTCTTTTTTATGACCCTATCTATAATGTACTGAGTAAGATTCAGTGGTGAAGAAAAGCACTTCAAACGTATTTCACATCTTCTTTGAGGAAAGTGCATGCCTGCTTGAAATTAATTTTTGAAGGCAAACAGTGTCCCCTTAAGAACAGTGACTATAATATACCAAATGCCATGAGTTAAGCAAAGATTCTTTTTTTGCACATATTTTTGTGATTTATTTAGTTTGGATCAGGTAACAGTGGCATCATTAAAAGGTGGAACATTAATCATGGATTATGATAAAAAGGAATTGAAACCTACATCTCATGGTATTACTGCTCCTGCAAGCAACACATTCCTTGGGCGCAGTTTGTTGCAGGAGAAACATGGAGAATTTAGTGTGTCAGTAACACACTCATTTCTCATCTCCTAACATGCAAGGCTTTATTTTGGGCTGTACAAGATTAGCAAGACCTTGTTCTGACTTTCATGCTCTTGCCATGGTCAGGGGAGGAGAAATGAGAAGTGGAGAGGGGAAATACTGACAGGGAGGAAGCCAAGGGAGAGGGTGGGAAGGCAGAGAGGGAATTCACCCTGGGGAAGACAGTCTATTACCGCTACTATTTTAATTTACCACAAAATGCAGAGTTAAGTGAGGTTTGGGTTTAGTGGGGCTTTACACAGGGGAAGAGGAGAAGTTTAGAAAACAGGAAAAGTGGAATTTGGAGTAAACAGAGCCCCTTGGGGTCTTTGCATCTTTTCCATTAGACATGGGGGGGCACAGGGTAATGGAGGAGAATGATGCTTTCAAGACTGACCCACCTCATCTGTGTGTGGAACATTGATCTTACAGCCTCATGACTGAAAGACAAAACAAACATCTGCAGTTTACACATGTACAAGTACAACAACAAAGAAATGGGTACATGGCATAGCACTGGACGCTGCACTGACAGGAGACAAGGGAGCTGCCTGTGCTGGCCCATGTGGCGCTGCATGAGAGCTTCCCTTTTGGTGTGCACTGCCAGGACCAAACTGTCCATCACTGGGCCATGGGGGATTTGGTGGAGTATGCCCTGACACGGTGATTTTAGGAGTGGTCTAGGTCAGGGAACATGAAAAGCCTGCTCCTGATATTTGGCAGGAGCAAGGGGACTGGATCTCCTGCACAGAAAGGTCTCCACTGACATCAGCAGTTGTGCTCTCTAGAACACAGCTTGAAATGGAAATCAGACTGGGATATCAGCCACAATTCACCTGGCCAATAACCCCATGGTCAAGTTTAAAGTCAGTAACCAGATACATGTGGGAGCTTTGACAATCTGCCAGGCAAATCAATGCCATTCCTGTACTTACCCAGAAAGTCAGGGCTGTTATCACTGCTGGGAGCTGTTTGGAGAGGCTTTTCTATCAGCCCACTATGGATCCAATCCAGGGCAACTGGATGTCATAGTACAGACTCCAAGCTGACTTTGGATCAGACCCTATTTCCCACCAAGGTAATCACCCAGATTTGTTTTCTTTTGGCTTATTTACCAGCTGCTTGGTAAGTGCTGGTGTAGTTTTATCAGGGAAAACCAGCAGTGATAACTGGAATGCAGAACCAATGTGTTAGTTAAAAAATGAGGGGCTGGGGGAAGAGGAGTGGTTAAGTTATAGCACTAAAGTTTAGTGAAGACAGGTAGCTGTAAAAAAGCAGCACAAAGATCAGAGGAAATCCTGTGGCTGTGCAGTTTTTGGCAAGCAATTCCCCACAGTTAATGTTTTACACACACTGCAACCTTCTGAATCAGCAGCAGTTTATATCTGTCATGGCTTGGAAACTGGGAAGGGCAGAGCATCCCTCCTGTGCGCTACCACCTTCACCATATCATGGTTTCAGTCCCAGATTTGGTGAAACCTCTCCCATCTCCCACTGAATCTTTTCCCATCTCACTCGTCCTGCAGAGATTTTCTTACAGGATTGGGGTGGGAATAGGGAATACCCAGAGACTGAGAGCATCCTGCACTCTCAGGTGACTCTGCTTGCAGATTACAGTCACATCTGTCACTAAAGTCCCGTTGCTAAAGAGTTAATCAGTGATTAATTGGGATGGCACACTCTCACCAGATGGGGGTTGTGTTAGGAGTGGTTATAAACACACCAGCAGATTGTGATACACATCTGAGTGCAAGCTTCAGTTGGGAGAAATTCTTGGGTTGTAGACTCAGCACAATCCTTGATAGTTTGCAGGTAGAATTACTCCTCAACTATCTATAAATGAGATTTTGATATAAGGGGTGAGTTAAACAGCTGCTTCCTACTTTAGCTACCTATTTTGAGACTAGTTACAAAACTCATAAGAAACCAGGGAAAAATTCTTTGCTGGTTGCTGGATTTGGGCTCAAATCTTATGTATTTGTTAGTGCATCAGATGGCAATTTTTTAAATAACGAGGAGAGAAACCAGTTTGTCTTCAGCAAGAAAATACTGTTGGGTTTTTTTTTTTTTCCTGAGCTAGAGAAGGAAAGAGGAATGAATGGATTTCCTGGGGCAGGGACCTGACACTGGGGGTGGCAGAGCCTGCTGAGTTTTGGCTGTTAGGATCCATCCCTATGCACCAAAGGACAGAAATCCACTCACTTGCCATTGTTGAAGACGACAGTGCAGTTGGGCCAGCAGTCGTGGTTGGCCTGGCAGAGGTTGGGGAAGACTCCCACTCCAACAGCCTGCAGTCCTCTTTGGTCACTGAGGGTAAAGCCATTGCAGCTGATCTAGCCCCAAAACACAGGCAGGGAGAAGGGTTAAAGCAGAAAAAGCTGAAACTCCATTTGGGATAAAACATCAGAAGAGAAGCAATGCAGGACTCGTGCAGAGGGACCAGGCCAGAGCTGAGTCAGTGTTACAGAATATTTGCTGTCAGTGTTCACTTGGGATGCCTAAGATAAACTTGGTTTGGCCATGCATTGATTTCCTTATATTTGGTTCCTGAAAATAATCCAGAGAAAGGTCACAGGAAAATGACTTTGAGGCAATTCAAGCAGAAAGCAAAGTTCACACTCCTGGAAACAGGTATCAGTTAGAAATTAACCTTGACTGCTGTATTGGACCTGGTCATGTTTGCTGGGTTGCCCTCAAAGCTCATAAAAACCAGCTACTACTCTTTGCTGTGAATTTTCAGCATTACTACTTTTGCATGACATATATTCCAAGAATGAATTATTTGACTTTTCTATATTATACACTACTATGAACAGAGCAGTTTTTAGTCACAAGCATAAATAATGGAAATATCTGCAAAGGAAAACATGATAAGATAAATCAAAGGAAATAATTAACTCAGCTACTGATTATTTTACCCTGATAATAGTTTTATTTCCTTTGCAAACTGATTCTGGAGTTTTTCTGTACTTTCTTGCTCCTGCACAGACAAGCTGTGCTGGTCACTATCACATAGGGTCTCCCTGTGTGCAGTGCACTGGGTTTTCTTTGTGGTGTGGGTACCAAAGCATGCTGTGTCCTCTCCCTGTACTGGGAGTGGCAAGGGCCAGCTTGTCTGGCACAGCAGCCACGGGCAGAGGGGTGAGCAGAGCCTGTGTCTCCTCCTGGCAGTGTTGGGAGCTGAGGGGGCAGTGCAGGGATACCCAGGCCTGGGAGCAGAGCAGCTCAGCCTCAACTGGAATCTCCCTCTCTGCTACAAAAATTTGTAGTTAACAACTTTGTAATTGATATTATTAAATATATTTCCATTTTTTACTGGTTTTATTTATATGTATATTCAGTCAACGTAAAAAAATCTAATGTACACAATATTAATAGACATTAACGTATCTACTAAAACAGATCTTCTATATTCAAATATATTTTAGATGTAGTTACTAAAAATATATCTCGGCTCTCCCAGGTTCAGAGGGATGCCCAGTGGGACTTGTATGAAAATGCAGCAGCCATGATTGAGCAAAACACTTGTCTGCACATTAGACAGACAAAATGCTGCAGCCTTTGCTATGGCTCAATTCCCAGTGTCAGCACAGAGGAGAAGCAGGTGGGGAATGGGATGGAGTCAGCCCTCCTCTCATGAGGCCAGCTGCAGAGTTTCTCCCCAAGCTGGCATTACAAACCCTCCCCACATGCACCCCTCGGACGTACCACCCCGAAAATGTGGGAGATGAGCTGCATCCCAAACTGCTGGCAGTGGGGCGGCCAGAACTCCAGGAAACTCTCCACGTCAGCACGCAGCTCCTTCTTCTCCTCCTCCCCAAAGCTGTCCACGTGGTTCTGCAGCTCCTCGATGGGCACCAGGCAGCCCTCGGACAGCCCCGTGCCCTCCCGCTCCATCTTCCACAGGATGCGGGCAGCCAGCCTGGCAGGGCACAGCAACGCGGGCAGAGAGCAGCATTCATTGTGGGGAAAACAAAATTCATCATGGGGAAAACAAAATTCATCAAAATTCATCATGGGGAAAGCAGAATTCATCAAAATTCATCGTGGGGAAAACAAAATTCATCAAAATTCGTCTCCTGGAGGGAATGGTGAAGGTAGATTGACTGAGGCAGGCTCAGCATCTGATGGTGAGCATCCCCAGCCTTCTGAAGGACAAGGAGATGCAGGGGTTTGTCCCAGCACCTGTGCTCTCATCTGGAGATGTTCTACAGATCCCCAGCCCTCCACAGCTGCTCCCATTTCCTTGAGGATTCCTCTCATTTTTTATGGTGGAGCCAGAATGTGAAGACAAGTTAATGTGGCATTCACATTCTCTGATAAAATCTCTTTGCCCAGGGTTTTTCTCCTGGGAAGCTGAGAAGCCTCAGAGAAAAGGAAAACAATTCTTATCTCATTTGCTTCTCCTGTGTTGTGCTCATGTGGAATGTGTTTGGAGATTGTTCACCCACAGGTGATTGTTCCATTGGATTCTGCTGGGAGTTGTTTTCACTCTTTGGCCAGTCAGGGCCAAGCTGTGTTGGGGCTCTGGAGAGAGTCAGGAGTTTTCATTATTATCTTTTTAGCCTTTTGTAAGTATCCTTTCTGTATTCTATAGTATAGTATTCTTTAATATAATAAGGTATTATAAAATAATAAATTAGCCTTCTGACAACATGGAGTCAGATTCATCATTCCTGCCTTTGTCAGGGCATCCCTGCAAATACAATAAAGTTAATGTATCCTGTAGGTAAACTGGGGAAGAACCCATCTCTCCTTTCACTTTCCCACCTACTCCCCAGTTTCCCACACTTCCCAAACCATGCAGGGTAGGTCTACCTCACCATGTTCAGAGGTTTTGGGGCCCAAAAATCCCCAAACAAGAACACATCTCTTGCACCACTGATGCCCCTCTGTCACCATGATATTTTATGAAAAATCCTTTGACCAGGATTTCTTCTCCTGGCAAGATGAGAAGCCTCAGCTTCTCCATGTTTTGCTCCTCTGGAATGTGATTTGGAGAGTTATTTCCCCAGCATGTGAATTGTTTTAATTTAATGAGCAATCCCAGTCCAGCTGTGTCGGGACTCTGGTCAGTCATGAGTTTTCATTATCATTTCTTGTCTAGCCTTCTGATGTATCCTTTCTCTTTATTCAGTATAGTTTTAGTATATAATATAATATATAATAATCAGCCTTCTGAGAACTTGGAGTCAGATTCTCATCTCTCACCTCATCCTGGGGACCCTCACAACACCACAACACTCCTCCACATACTTTCCCTATCTCAGGGATGCTCCTGGTCTATCCTAAACCTTCTCCCACCTCCACCTTGCCCAAACCAGGCCGCCCAGCTGTTCTTTGCCACAAGAAGAGCGTGTCCCAGGTCTGTCCCCTCCTCTCCCAGGCCACGGGGGCCAGCTCTCACCTGATGTTTTCGGAGGGTGCCTTGCCATGCCTCTTGATGGCGGAGCACTCGTTTTTGTGGTTGAGCCAGGCCGCTCTCTGGCAGGTCCTGTCGCAGTAATGGGCAAACTTGCACTGCCCGCAGCGGTGCAGCCTCTCCTGCCTCTTGAAGCAGGTGTGGCAGATGACGTGGGTCAGGCTGCAAGGACACAAGGACACCTTGGATCAGTGAGGCCCCAGCTCTGCCCAGCGAAGTTCCAGCTGGTTTTGCATCCCTGTACACAAAGGAACTGTCACCGTGATATTTTATGAAAAATCCCTTCGCCAGGATTTCTTCTCCTGGCAAGATGAGAAGCCTCAGCTTCTCCGTGTTTTCCTCCTCTGGAATGTGGCCTGGAGATAGTTTATCCAAAAATGTGAATTGTTTTTAATTAATGTCCAATCACATCCAGCTGTGTCTGACTCTCTGAGTCTGTCGCGGGTATTTATTACTCATTCTTGTCTGACCTTCTGATGTCTCCTTTCACTTTCTTTAGTATAGTTTTAGTATATAATTTTAATATGATATAATAATATAATAATATGATAATATAATGAATAGAATAGAATAGAATAGAATAGAATAGAATAGAATAGAATAGAATAGAATATCAGCCTTCTGAGAACTTGGACTCAGATTCTCATCTCTCACCTCATCCTGGGGACCTTCTCAACACCGCAACAATGAACCCCTCAAGATTTTTGGGGAGGATGGAGAAACATCCCCCCCAGCTGAATGGTTGTGTTCTTGCCTTGTGCTGCTGCTGTAAGTAAAATGGTGATGGAATGACTGGGGCCCTTTCAAAAGGGGTATTTCATCTCTGGGGATTCAAAACAGGATTTCCAAGAAGCATCCCACAATTGTGTGCATGTAACCATAACCAAGGCTGGGGGAGGATGCTGATGATGAAATCTGACTTTACATCCTCCCTCTGAGAGTGTTCAGGGTCCCACTGAGGAGAAACCTCCCCCATATCCCCTTTCAAGTGTCCAGCTTTTGCCCCTACAACTTAATTCACTGAGAAGGAGGGGGAGACACTTTGGTCTCCTGTCCAAAAAATTTTGGGACTTTCCCCTTGCTGCTAGAGAAAGCTTTTCACTGCCTGATTTAGTGTCTGCAGCTGTCTGCTTCTCCAGGCAGCCACCCACTTCATCTGGGCCTCCAGCCAGGCTTGACAGCACAGGAGAATTTAAATTCCCATCACTCAGCCACTGCTGGTGCCAGGAGGGAGGTTCTCCTCACTGCAGAAAGCTCAGGGACCACAGAGGCTTCGTGATCAAAGGAACATTTATAATTGTGCACGGTGCAGGGTGGGGAAACTGAGGCATGGGGAAATTAAAAACAAATTATTGATGATCCTGTAAGGAGGATGTGCCACAAGCAGGAATCAGACTCACAGCCCCAGAGATTCCAGCCCAAAGATTCTCCTTTGTCTCTACCATACCTATATATAGGTACACACATACATATGCATATTTATATTTATATCACAGTACATTTTAAATGCACTTCCTTTTCTCTGAAAATATTGTGTGAGCTGCTGACTTAATCTACCCTGTGCCTTGGCTCTTGCAGGATAAAGAGGGTCACAGATTTAAAAGCAGGATGACCCACGTCAGACAAAACCACATGCCAAAATGAGGTTTGGAAGAAAGAGTTTGGGAAAGTGAGCAGTGCTGGAGGGAGCCCAATGTAAGGCAAGCAGCTGGGATGGGACAGGGGGAAATGTGTGTGGGAAGGGGGATGCAGGCAGCTCCACTGTGCCCCATGGAGAGCTGAGAGCTGGTGAGAAATGCGAGGCTGTGCTCTGTCAGCTGTCAGGTCAGGGGGGCAGAGAGGTGCAGGAGAGATTAAACTCCTTGTAAGGCAAAGCAGAGCCAGGGAGCTGATAAACCCACATGCCAGGAAGCACAGGGAGATATCCCACAAGGGTAATGGGGGTCCCTCCTGCCACCCGGGTGTTTTAAGGGCAGTCAAAAAGCAAAAAAGAAAAAAATAAGTTTCCTTGTAGAGAAGAATGACAGGTTGGAAGGGAACATGGTGCAGAAAAATCCAAGTCCTCTACCAGGGGCTTCTCTATCCTCAGTTTGCTCCCTGAGAATAAAAAATACTGAAATGCTGACTTTGCATTTTGCTGTTTATTCCATGGGGTGTCCAGATTTTCCAAAGCAAACCTGGCTGGCAGAATTTACCACCAACTCCGGAAATCCCTCATTTCTGAGGAGATGCAGAAATGCACCAAAAACGTTGTACAAGACTTTCTGAGAAAGAGAAGGAACAGCCCTTGTGGTATTGAAGCTGCAGAGACAATTACTCCCAGGTAACCTGACTGGCAAGTGTAAGAAATACTGCAGCTTTTAACAAACCATTATGGGATCCTCTGTGCCCCAAAATGTTCTCAAAGAAGACTGGATTTGTGAATATTGTGTGTTATCAGGACTCCAGAGGCCTGGGCTCAACTCCTGGCACAGTAAAAATATCAGGAGACACAAGAATTTGAGATCCATTCCACAAAACTTCAATTAACATTGCTTAAGCATCTGCAAGCTCCTAAGTCCCCCAGGTGCCCCTTGGCAGTTGTGAAGCTCCTGCTGTGTCAGAGGAGCTCAGAGCTGGATGCCCCAAAAGGGAAGGACAGAGTGGGGCTCTCCTTGGCTGGGTTCTGGTTCCACCTGTCCTGAGACACAAAACACCCAGACACCAAAGCCTTCGTGGTTCACAGGCTCCTCTCTGCTCCCCTCTGCAAGGCTGAGGCTCTCCACGTGGAGCAGCCTGAGGTTAAATTTAAGTCTCTCAGCCTGTGGAAATCATTGGTCTATAAAACCTTCTCTGTGTGACCCAGAAAGTGTTTAACTCAACCCAAAATGGTTCCAGGTGTCCCAGATGTCCCCTGCAGTACAGAGAGCAGCATACACCCATGTGGGCAGGGTGCTGCATGGCCAGGCTGATGCCTTGGAAAGGCTGACCTAGAACAGAGGCTGGACAGAGCTAAAGAATAAAGCAGGGATTTATTAAAAGGATCTCCTCAATGTATCCACCTTGGGCAGCACAAGAGCCCAGCCAGGGCTGCACCCAAGATGAACCAAAATGGTCACAAAAAATGGTCATAAAATGCACGAGTGGTCATGAGGTCTCTCACTTTCATCAGTTCTGTTCCATTTGCATATTGGAGTTCATTATCCAATTCCAGCTTTAGCCCGTGCAGTCCCACCCTGCTTGCTTTTCTCTCTCCAGCCCATGGTGTTTGTGCTCCTGGGCTGAGATTTGGATCATCTGTCCTTGGTGCCCAGCTGGAGCAGGAATTGTTTTGTCTCCCTGCTCTGTGCACAGAGCTCACCATCCCCTCATATGAAGCCCAGATCCACACACTAAAGCAGCACAGAATCTGAAAAATAGAAAAGCCAAAACCTGAGGCACACAGGCAGCACTAACAGTCCCTAGAGATGAGCCTGGGGAAGCACCTGCTGCTATGGATCCACCAAGGATCCCTGGAGCTCTGAACCCTCTGGGTCCTGCTGCTCAGCTTCCCTTGCTTCATCACAGGGACAGCACAACTCATTTCTGCTCTGTCTGTGCCCTCACAGCCCCTGAGGTGATCAGTGCCCTTCCCCACACATAGTGAGAACTGGTTCTCACCCTGCCCAAACCAGGATCTCCTTCAGTACAGTGATGCCTCCAGCCCATCACAATCCTTGCCAGGTCAGGATTTAGGGCTGACATAGAGGGCAGATGCCACTGGCTGACTCACTGAATGACTTTCTGGGGAGCCTCAGGTTTCCTTGGCCACTTTTCCTTCCCACCCCAGCATCAACCGAGCTGAACTCTGAAGAGCTCACGTGCTCTGGTGTCACTTAGGTGTGGGAGCCCAGGGCACCACAGGGAATATTTCTGTGTCTGCTCTGGGGTGCCCTGACCCCCAGGGCAGCACTGACTCTGACCCTCATCCATGGAGAAAGTTTCCCAGACTTCAAGATAGACTGGAATCCACAAAAGTGTGAAATAGATTATAGAGAGCAGTGTGGGTGTGTCACTTGGTGAGAAATTGAGGGTTTGGGATTTTTAGTGTGTTGTGGATGGCAGCAACATGGAGGGCACAGGGTCTTATTTCTTCATGCTGCTTCTTCCTTCTTCTCCATGGGTTTGGGTGGCATTTTGTAATTGGGCAGAAAAGTCTCCATTGTGAGCTCTGTGGGATCAGTAACTGGGTTGAAAGGGAAAATAATCCAGGTGTCAGTTCTTAATTGGACAGTTTAGTATTACAAGACCTTGTAACAAGAGATTGTTGGCCATTTTGTGCCTTCTAATGAAAGGCTGCCAAACTCACAGTAGTGAGACTGTTTTACTGATAAGAAATAATAAACACTTGAGTCCGAACATGAATGACCCAGTGCCTTCAGTCCAGACCTAGAGAAATCAACAACTGGGACCCCAGCAACTGGGACCCCCACACTTAGGTAGGACACACAACTAATCCTGAATGCAGCTGCAGTGACAAAAGCAGAGATTCAACGTGCCAGCCAACAAACGCAAGAGGGAACACAGCACTGACAGCTAAACCATGGCTCCTGCAAGCCCAGCCTGCAGTGAAAGCACAAGAAACAATTCTTGTGACTGCTTGGATTGCATTCAGACAGATTAAGGTCGGTTGGACCTGCCAGGGTTGAGCACTGTCACAGGAAATGTATTAACCTAATCTCTGAGACATGCACAGCCCAAACATCTGCCACCCAGCACACAAAACATCTCATTCAGTGGCCTGGAAAAGCCAGGTGAGATGGCTTTAGTGCAAAGAAGCAAGGAGGATTTCACTGAGGAGCTGATAGGCACAGTGAGTGGCTCCTACACTGTTAAACATGGGTGCCTGCTGTTCTGTACATCACAGATGACACACAGAGATGGCCAAACTTACACCTAAATCCTATTTATGATTGCTTGGCAGGGCATCTCTCTCCTCAGTCTGCTCCAGAGAGCAGCATAAGAACAGCTGAGGATGTAGAGCAAAGTCTCCTTGGTTTTCAAAGCAGAGGCTGTAGCACTTCACTAAAGACAGCAGCCTAAGAAAATGCACCTGCTACCTAAAGATGAATTATTAGCATAAGAATGGGTTTGCTCCTTTTAAAAGGAGTTGGAGTTTGGTACTTTCATCTTTAAAATGTCAG